TGAATTCTGCAAGTGTTATCCAGCCTATGGACCAAGGGTTCATCGGAAGTTTTAAATCAAACTTTTGTAAGCTTCCGGATAGAAAGAATAATTCCAGATAGATTTTAAAAATTAATTCCAGATAGAAAAGAAACTTAAAGAATTTTGATGCTTCCAGATAGAAAAGAAAAAATACAAAGAACCTCAAATGCTAATGTAAACGTACTTGAAGCGGAACGATGCATGGAAACGTTACAATCAACATAAATCACCAATTGCCTCTGCAAGACTGGATTGAACGCTTCTCAAGAGAGGCAGAATTTCTTTAACATTCCGAAATCAACCGAAAGTTAGTGATAGTTCATCATAATCCTAGAAACATTTGACGGCGGGCCTTTTTTTTATCTTGGCGAAAGATCAGGATTGAATATTTTTCCAATGAATTCTGCAAGTGTTATCCAGCCTATGGACCAAGGGTTCATCGGAAGTTTTAAATCAAACTTTTGTAAGCTTCCGGATAGAAAAGAATAATTCCAGATAGATTTAATAAAATTAATTCCAGATAGAAAAGAAACTTAAAGAATTTTGATGCTTCCAGATAGAAAAGAAAAAATACAAAGAACCTCAAATGCTAATGTAAACGTACTTGAAGCGGAACGATGCATGGAAAACGTTACATCAACATAAATCACCAATTGCCTCTGCAAGACTGGATTGAACGCTTCTCAAGAGAGGCAGAATTTCTTTAACACTCCGAAATCAACCGAAAGTTAGTGATAGTTCATAAATCCTAGAAACGTTTGACGGCGGGCCTTTTTTTATCTTGGCGAAAGATCAGGATTGAATATTTTCCAATGAATTCTGCAAGTGTTATCCAGCCTATGGACCAAGGGTTCATCGGAAGTTTTAAATCAAACTTTTGTAAGCTTCCGGATAGAAAAGAATAATTCCAGATAGATTTAATAAAATTAATTCCAGATAGAAAAGAAACTTAAAGAATTTTGATGCTTCCAGATAGAAAAGAAAAAATACAAAGAACCTCAAATGCTAATGTAAACGTACTTGAAGCGGAACGATGCATGGAAAACGTTACATCAACATAAATCACCAATTGCCTCTGCAAGACTGGATTGAACGCTTCTCAAGAGAGGCAGAATTTCTTTAACACTCCGAAATCAACCGAAAGTTAGTGATAGTTCATAAATCCTAGAAACATTTGACGGCGGCCTTTTTTTATCTTGGCGAAAGATCAGGATTGAATATTTTCCAATGAATTCTGCAAGTGTTATCCAGCCTATGGACCAAGGGTTCATCGGAAGTTTTAAATCAAACTTTTGTAAGCTTCCGGATAGAAAAGAATAATTCCAGATAGATTTAATAAAATTAATTCCAGATAGAAAAGAAACTTAAAGAATTTTGATGCTTCCAGATAGAAAAGAAAAAATACTTGAAGCGGAACGATGCATGGAAAACGTTACATCAACATAAATCACCAATTGCCTCTGCAAGACTGGATTGAACGCTTCTCAAGAGAGGCAGAATTTCTTTAACATTCCGAAATCAACCGAAAGTTAGTGATAGTTCATAAATCCTAGAAACATTTGACGGCGGCCTTTTTTTTATCTTGGCGAAAGATCAGGATTGAATATTTTCCAATGAATTCTGCAAGTGTTATCCAGCCTATGGACCAAGGGTTCATCGGAAGTTTTAAATCAAACTTTTGTAAGCTTCCGGATAGAAAAGAATAATTCCAGATAGATTTAATAAAATTAATTCCAGATAGAAAAGAAACTTAAAGAATTTTGATGCTTCCAGATAGAAAAGAAAAAATACAAAGAACCTCAAATGCTAATGTAAACGTACTTGAAGCGGAACGATGCATGGAAAACGTTACATCAACATAAATCACCAATTGCCTCTGCAAGACTGGATTGAACGCTTCTCAAGAGAGGCAGAGTACTGAGGATAAAGAAGACGTAAACGTCTTAAACATTTGGAAATAAGTAAACAAGAATTTGAAAATTATGTTTATGTTGATGCGATTTATTTTATTACTTTCGAGATACCAACTGACGAGAATATTGCAGCCCAAATTGAAGCAGATGGAAATGGTAATAAAACGGACGATGATTACGACGAATGTGAAAAATTTCAAGCTGAATCGCTCCCAACATACTCAGCGGCTTTTGGGTGCGCAGAAAAACTTCAATTTTTTCCGAAGCGTAGGCGGAAATGACAATGTTTTTCCGTCCATGAATCTTCTCCGAAGAACAATATCACAAGAGACAATGAAACACTTCAAAGTAAATTAACCAATTTCTTTTGTACTGTACACAATTAAAAAATAAATAAAATATATATAATATAGTAAGTATGTATGAATTTTTATCATTTTTTTCACGAACCCGTTTTTTACGAGCACTCGATTTAAAAGATCAAATATCGCGGTCCCTTCCCCCTCGTCATAACCGAGTTCGACTGTATGCAAGGGGTTCACCCATTCCTGCCAACATAGTCTAATAGTGGCATCGCTCCTGCTCAAATGTCGAGCTATTCGCCGATAAGACCAACCGGCTTCTTTGAGTCCACTACATGACCTCTCTCAAATTCTAACATCTGCGCATATCGTTCGCGCACCTGTATGAGAGGCACAGTTACTGTCTACCGGCGAAAGATGCATTTTAGTCAACTTTTCACCGTTAGGTGGCGCTTGTTAGTATTTTCCTATAAGAGTTTGATAGTGGTTAGTGATTCTAACTACCGTGTTGAAGGGCCCGAGCGAATCCCGGAGAGGGTATGGATACTGTAATTTTTTTTAAATGGACGAGCTTTTTGTTAATTGACCATTAACCTTACGCCACTACAAGAGCCGGAAGTGGTGGCCATTTCATTACGGAGGCACCTAATGGGTGGCCAACGTTGCTTCCTATGAAGGGGCGGACAGTTACAACCCCGCCTCAGTGATTCGAGCTCGGGCCCATCGCTACCGGTAGTCACGGTCACTAACTACTATACCGGCTGAGCGGTTAGATGCTGAAAATGTATAGTGTCTTTGAGGCATGGGGGCATTCTAAATACAAGGCGAAACAAAAATAATCTCGTGTGGTTTAGTGGAAAGGGAAAAGGGATGGGAGATACTCAGTCACGCCCCCGGGTTGCTCTCTTTCTCAAAATTCCGGTGAGTTGGGCCAAGTTGTGTTGTCACCTACAAGGGGTGATCAAATGAAACGGTACGAAACGATGTAAAAACGTAACAGTTAAATATTTGCATATTCTGCCATGGTAGCACGTAGCGAGACATCTCGGGATGCGATTGGAGTCTCTGACTGGGATCGTAGCATGCGCGGGCGCCCACGTGCGCAGGAGAAAGCAGAGACTCTTATCAAAAGCGGCGTCCAAATGACGCGAGCAGTCCGTATGAGGACAGGATAGCGTTCGTGTTGCAAAATTCGACGATTGAGGAGCAGCGAGGTGTTATCCGATTTCTGACAGTGGAAAGTGGAACCGGCAGCTATTCATCGCCGGATGGTGACAGTTTATGGGAAGAAATGTGTCTCTGACCAGTCTGTCAGAAAATGGAGTGCCCATTTTCGTGCAAGCCGTGAGAGTGTGAGTGATGACCCGAGACCAGGCCAGGCAAACACTGTCATCACAAGCAATCTCGTCGACAAGGTGGAACGAACCTAGTGAGAAGTGATCGGCGTGTCATATTGCGAATGTTGCCGGTGAAGGTGGATGTCAGCTATGGAACCGTGTGGACAATTGTTCGCGGCAGGTTGCGATATCGGAAGGTGTGTGCCGCTTGGGTTCCTAAGCAGCTCACCGTCCAGCAAAAGGAACTGCGTATGCGGCTAGCACTGCAACATCTGTCTCGGTATCAGGAAGACCCCGCTTTCATGGAGCGGATCGTCACAGATGATGAGACCTGGTGCCATCACTACGAGCCAGAGAAAAAGGCGGGACATCATGCAGTGGAAGCATGCGTCGTCACCTCCGCCTAAAACGTTCAAAGCCGTGCCGTCAGCAGGCAAAGGTTTTGCTCACCGTCTTTTCCGACGTTCTAGGTCCGCTACTTGTGGAATTCCTTGAGCACAGAAAAACCATTCACTCCGATGTGTACTGTGAGACACTCCGACGCTACGCAGTTTCATCAAGAACAAAAGACCGGGGCTGCTGACAGAGGGTGTGGTTCTGCTCCATGATAACGCGCGTCCACACGTCTCCAGAGTCACACACATGGAACTGGCCAAGTTCAAGTAGGAGACGTTGGACCACCCGCCCTAAAATCCGGACATGTCGCCCTGCGATTTCTATGTGTTTGGTCCACTGAAGGAACACTTGAAAGGGAAGCGCTTCAACTCGGACGACGTACTCAAGGCAGGCCGCTGTGAAGGACTGGATCTCATCACGGCCCCAGGAATTCTGGGAACAAGGAATCCTGCAGCTTGTTTATCAGTGGGATCGTTATGCTCAGGCCTATGGTGTATATTTTGAATAAAGTATACATTTGTACTCACCGTGTCGTTTCGTACCTTTTCATTTGGTAACCCCTTGTATTTAAATTCCTTAATAATCATTGAATCTTACCCATCACAACTGTGCAGAACAATCGTGTAAGTAAAATTCATTTTCAGGCAAACATTTAAATGAGTATCAGGCAATTGAGCATATGAAAAGCTATCCTATTTCCTCAGTTAAATATGGTTTCGTTTAACGTCGTATTACAAGCGTAGCATCTTACAGTTTCATCTGAATGAGAACTAAATAAGGAAATGTTCATTTCTTGTATCTGTTAAGAATTGTGTGAAATTCATTATACGGGTATAATCTATTATGGATATAAAACGTCATATAAAATTCAAGCATACATTATGAAAGTAATTAAATGCCGTACAAAACGATTGTAGCTAAAATGTGCTGCACACTTTGAAATATGGTATTATATGATGCATATCTAACATTTTGGTGTACAATGATAATTAAACCAAATATTGATTCAGATTTATATGATTTCTACGCAGATATATGCGGCCAGAATAAATGTGTAGCAGGAGAATGTGAAATAACAGATGATCATTATCACTGTAGGTAAGATATTTTTAACTATATTTTCTCACGTTTTTTAATATCTGATTATGTATTGTTAAAACATAGACATAAAAATCTCTAGTGCGAAAATGACAATAATGTAGATTAGACCAAAATTTGAAGAATGTCGACATTCACGGGTGAATGTCAACATTCACATAGTCGCTTGGTGCATGTCCAAAATATTTGCCAAATATCTGTATTTCTGACTTACACCGGCAAATGTCGACATTCACCATACATTAATGGTTAATGTTGAATGCGTCGGAGATTTGCATTTTGTTCTCCGTATTTCAGGCGCCATAAAACTTCAAAGGTGACGTAACGTTTTCGCCTGCCTTGCTGAGAGGACTAACCAATCCCTCGTGAGAAGAGTTGTTCGTAACTCTATAGCGACGTTTTCACTGCGTGACATGTAGCTTTTGATTCTAACGCGAGAAGGGCTACTCGATATTACTTTACTTATAATATGACAGCAGTCGTGCTTGGATAAATGTTAAGCATTTAGTTTTAAATTTAATCAAGAAAGAACTTTTTTTTACTTTTGCATTTATACCGTATATGTCAAAATATGAAAACGCTTAAGTAACAGCACATGTAAATAAACTTTTAAACTTAAACAATACATTCTAAATGAGAAAAGAAAATAATAGTAAAATAATTTAATTATGTGACTAATATCTTATTTATTAGAACAACATAGATTTTTATGACACTTTGAATTGCACAAGAATCCTTTGCTTTTACAACTGCATTTAGTTGTGGAACACTTCCTTTTGCAGTGACAGTGTGTCTAGCCTTGCCCTCTACTTCTCGAATGCTGCAGCTGCTTCTCTCAGCGACATTACTTGAGAAGGAATCTCATCTACGGAAAGTAACTTTTCTTTACAAATTACGAACTGATTATGGATATAAAGCTGCTTGAAGGTGTCATTTTTATTTGCTAGTTTATAAAAACCGGAGTCTTATTCCAACAACAACTGCCAACACGTTTCGACCGACATCAGTAAGAAAATTTTTTTTTGAGGTTCGTAACATTTTCGTTGCTTGTAGTGAAAGATTCTCTTTCGCGGCCGATCTTTCTACAGAAATTAATTCGTGTTGTTCAGTCCAGGCTTGATACGAAGACGTGGTAGATTGCCGGTCCTTCTCAATATTTTTCTTTGGAATATGGTTTTCGGTATGGGCACTGCTCAGATTTTCTTCAAATGTATTAACAATTTTTTCAAGTTCGGTTTGAAAAGTATTAGCAATTTCTTAAGAGTTGTTCTTCGGTTTCAATATCTGCGATTCGTTCGCCAGGCAAAAATGCCTCTTTTTGGTTTAATGCCAAACATAGCTTCAATAAGGAGTAATCAATTGCGGTGAGGAGAGATGTGTTTGAAAAATAAAAACAATTGTCTTCTCGTTTACTCGCAATTCATGCATTTACCTTTTCAAGGAAAGATTCACGATTCACTGCAGTATCTATTCAACATAAATTGGGGTATTGGATTAAAAACAAAATTAAGAAAACGTTATGCGTACCATCAAACCTAGCATAAGACTGACAAACAGTGTTCCAGAGTAAAACAAATACATGCTGCGTAACTTTCAATCGCAGCAGAGCAAACCCTCTGTTGAATTCGACTCCTCTTTTCGACCTCCACCACAGTATATCTGTGATTGTCGACATACACCGGTGATGGTCTGAATGTACAAGAATATAACCAAATATTCGGTCTTTCGCCGACGTATTTGGTATGTGTTGACATTCACCAACTTCGGTCTTTCACAGTAACATAGATACACAGAGATTTACAAAATATTCTTTTGTAAATTTCCTGCATCATTTTGCTAATGCTAATTTTTGGATTTATATTCCGTTAAAAAAATGGACATAAAGGCATTAATAAGGAAATGACAGTGATGTAGACATGCAGACTAAAAATAGGCTTAGTTAATTTTTAGCCGAAAAGGGATGTTAGTCCCGAATGGGATATTAGTCTAAAAAGAGTATCACTTGCCACTTAAATTCTTGCCACATTATATTTCAAGAAATTAAATAATGTAAAATCTGCATTATTGTTACATGCGCACTGTGGAAAAACGACGATATCAAAGCGAGCACGAGCAGTGGGAACACTGAACAGAATAAAACATTTTCACCTCCAGCGCGCTAAATTGTATCTCGGAAACTTTAGAGATACGCTGTTTTCAAACTTTTTGTGGGTTTGCCTGTTGTATGTATTTTCTCCCTCCTTTCAGCACGCCTTCGGTGTAATTGGAAGCATCCTCGACCAGCGTATTCGAGAGGTTCAGGGTTCGATTCTCTTCGAGGACAGTGATTCTTTTCCACTTCTCCTGCTTCAAAATAAGCTTAATGTCTCTACAAGTGGCCCCCAAACTGGAAAGGTATTTTGTCACGAACAGGATTTGGCATTTGTATCCCCTAATCCCCAGCTGCCTTTATAAAAGGGGAAGTATTTTCTCTCTCCTTTTCACGTGCCTTCATGGTTTAATTGGAAGGCTACTGGAGGAGTATCCGAAACTTCGACAGTTTGAATACCGGCGAGGGCAGTGCAGATTTTTCAAGTCTCTTGCTTCTAAATAACGTAATGACTTTACAGTTGAAGAGAATTTTATGTAGCATAAGTGTTCCAGAGTTAAAAAAATACATGCTACATAACTTTCAATCGCAGCAGAGCAAACCCTCTGTTGAACTCGACTCCTCTTTTCGACCTCCACCACAGTATATCTGTGATTGTCGACATACACCGGTGATGGTCTGAATGTACAAGAATATAACCAAATATTCGGTCTTTCGCCGATGTATATATTACGTATATATTAAACAAAAGAAAGAAACCGGCGAGGACAGTAAAGAACGTATATATTAAACAAAATTAACAACACACCAAAACGTTAACAACATAAAGATAAAAAAAGTTTTGCTAAGAAAGCTGAACATTCATGTAATGAACTGAGAACTGAGATCGTATTGAAAAAAAAAAAAAAAAAAAAAAAAAAAAAAACTATATGTTAACACTTAATACTGCATCGAGAAGTCTAAATATATGCCGCTATGCTGCTTTTAAAATTTTGTAATTTTAGCTGTTGAATTTTATCGTCGTAAGTACGAGGAAAATGATGCTTAAAACCTTAACACACTACCAGCTCAGCGATAGCTTAAAAAAATCTTAACAAATTCTTTTGAGCGATCTTTAAAATCTGAGCCTTTCAAAGTTTTTTTTTTTTAATGTTTTCCCCTTTTTATTGATGCTTTCTCTAATGTTATTAATTTTTATTGTTTAGATTTTGCAATAAAGCGCTCTAAATTGAAGTTAGGGCTAATCTTTGGAATATGGTAACAGGTAGTTTGGCGACATTTTGCTAAAGCGATAAAGGTTACTAGCTAGGACTTTAGCAGTATACATGGAGTGTGCGCAATGCCATTTTTGTGCAATTCTGAGATTTTTTTTAAGTGAAAATAGGTCGACGTGTACATGGATGATACCGTGCATGTGCAGTTCTTAAAAATGCAGCAAGCAGTCGGCGATTCTGCACTTTGTCCCAATTTCCCACCTAATCTTCGTCATGATTAGCTTCCTTTTGTTCCATAAAAGTTCTAGCATAAGCGTAATTCGGCTAGCAGATTGTTAGAAAAATATGTTGAGCAAAAAAAAAAAAAAAAAAAAAACTTTCCTTTACTTCGTGAAAACAAAATGGCGTCCAAACAAAAACTAGTAGGTTGCTGTAGCAGGGTTGGTCGCCAGATTTTCGCCAAAAAAACGCTAATTTACCATAATCCAAAGATTAACCGAAGTTAGTTATGATTAAAGTAATCTTTTTCGAACCTATTCCAAGCATGTTTTAATTAAACTCCCTTTATGAACCAAGGAGAAAAGGAAACTGCATAAATCTAATAGTTTAAGTTCCAGTCATTGGCTCAAAAGATGGCACGGAAAGAAATGAAACACAAACTGATAACATAAAACTTTATTAATCACAGTATGCATTCCACTTGTGTTCTAGCTTATGCAACAGTAGCGAGTAGGATTTCTTGAGATATTGCAGCAACATGGATTGTTGGGGTTGTTTCCAACTCATGCAGAGACCGTATGTCTCCTTCATAGATTCTCTTAGAAATTCGCACAGCCAGAGGCACAAGGATTAATGTCCAGAAAATGATGGAGCTATGCATTCATAAAACTTCTCGAAATTAGGTGATCATTTTGAAAGTGAACTCAAAGATATTCTTTTACATGTCGGCCAGTATGGATGTTGCGCCATCTTGCATGAAGACAGGACGGCTTCCGTCCTAGCTACTTGACCTTTCGGAATTGAATACCGCCCCGCACTTCTTAAGAGGTTATCACACGTGGCTACAGTCCCGGCTAGACGGGGCTCTTCTGAGAAACGAGATTCTGGTTGCACTGGTTTAAACGGGAGGATTCCTAGAAAAAAGATCCTGGCCTGAAGCGAAGTTCCGCCTAGCTTACGGAAACAATGTTGCGGCTAAGCGGGATTTTTTCAAACCTCACCGAAAATGTCTTGGCTAGTCCCGAGTAGAGACAACCAATCAGACGAAAGTTCTGCTTCTGAAGCCTCACGTCATCCCAATCTGAGCGATAATTGATTAGTGTTTGGCGTTCAAGTCTTTGTAGTAACTGAAAATGGTAACTTAGCTTCGGTTTCCTGGAATTGTGCGGGTTCTGAGAATTGTCCCTTTCGACGTCAAGTCCCGCGTAGCCGAAACATAATGTGATTGGGACTTTACTACCATGTTGCGACCCCACAGAGCAAGGGCAGACAAGGCAGTACCAGTACGGTCCCTGCCGATCCTTACTCTGTCCCGAGAGCCCTCAGGCCTTCTGTGAAGTCTGATATTATACCCCGTGGTTGAGACTGTCTGAGTACAGATCCTAACTAGTACTTCCCAGGCATTCGCCTGATTCAACCCCCGGGGGGACTTGCATGAAGACAGTAGTCTGTTAACATTCGTGTTCTTATAAGGCAGAAATGATTTGTTTGCAGTAACCGGTACTCCTAAACGGTACACGTTTAAGCCTTGAGGATTACTTCTCGAATAAAACGGAGCTAAGAATGAAGTCAGCAGTAATTCTACACCATATAATCGCGTAATCAGAGAACAACACAACACACACACACACACACACACACACACACACACACACACCACACACCACACACACACAACACACACACACACACACACACACACACACACACACACACACACACACACTCTCAGTGGCTTGTAATTCCTTATTCAGCACTGGCCACAATTAAGGTCAAAAGCAGTGGCCATTTTATTGTGGATGCACCTAAAAGTCGTCCACCGTTGCCTCATATGAAGGGATAGACAGTTACAACCATGCCTTTTCCAGGATTCGATCTCGGGCCCTTCGATATCGCAACAGCCTATCCTAACAACTATACGGTCGGGACGGCGCTAAATAATGTTACGTTGAACTGAAAATAAGGAGTATGTCAGAGCTTAATTTTCATCTACGTATAAAGAATGTAAGCAATTTTCTTTGACTGAACAGTGCATATCGTTACATTACTCTAAGATAAGCTCATATAAGCATAATATTAATTTTTAGACATGGATTATAGACCCAGAAAGGTTCATCAAAACGGGCAAAAATCCATACTCTTCACTGGAAAGCACCGTGCAAAAATAGTAACTCCGAGGGTGAAAGCTTTCGAAAATATTTCTCGAAGTTAAGAGGAAATAGACGTAGTCAACAACAAGGCAATTGGCTGAATCTCCGGTGAAGATTCAAGAAAATTCCGTTCATTTTCAGCTCCTTATAAAGAGGACAGAATTCAGAGAATATCCTGTATCGAATTCAAATGAAAAAAAAAATGAGTATGAAGTTTTAAGAGCTTTCGAAAAGTTTGCCGAATTGGTAATTATTCTCAAAGATTGCTTGATCACGAACAGCAGTATCTTCAGTTTTGTCAAAATAATCCGCATACTGAAATTTCCAATAAGAGTGCAACTTTCTTCACAAAAGTGCGATCTAATTATTTTATAATAAACGTGTAGAAAAAACTGCTTACAATTACTTATCATACTTTATAAGGTTATACGTTGTAGATTTGACTAGGGAAATAGACAGTTGAATCGAAAAATAGTCTTAAGTTAACTAGGGAAAGAGACATAAATATGAATTACCGTTTCTGTACTATTCCGTTTTGAAGACCGTAAAAAAATTTCAGCGAAAATGTATGCGCAAAAGCGCCCATTTAACAGCGCGCCAAATCTAACGTACGCGCTGATTTCAGATTGCGTAAGTTTTATATAGTTCTATATTTCTTAAAACGCCATTGAAATGCTAGTTTAATTTTTAAATCCTTTTTAATTTTAAATGCTTTTTTGATATCCTATGGATTTAACAATTTGGGAATTGCCCATGACGAAAAGTCGGCAATAGAATTTTGGGTAAAGTGCAGAATCACCCACTGCTTGACACGTTTTTAAGAATTGCACATACTCGTTATCCATGTACACATCGACCTATTTTCACTTTAAAAAATCCCAGAATTGCACAAAAATGGCACTGCGCACACGCTTGACTTTATCTATGTACACATCGACGTATTTTCACTTAAAAAGTAAAAGAAAATTGACAAAAATCCAATTGTTTTTAACCCTTGTAAAAAGCGGCAAACAAATAAGTGGGCGATTCTGCCCTTTAACCGAGAATTTTTTCAAAGAAAAAGCACCATTCATTATAGAAAATTATGTTGAACAACCAACGGGATGAAACTATGCTTTAGCGATAACTCGGTCGCGAAATAGTATCCATTCAGTTATGTTTAGCAATTTTTATATAAATTACAATAATGATCTGAAATAGTTATTTACTGTTATGCTTCCATTCAGTCATGTTTAGCCTTTTTTATATAAATTATAATAATAAAAATGTATTATACGAAATTAACCTTTCGTCTAAATTAAAACATCAATCTTTAGATAGTTATTTACTATTATACTTCCTTTCTTGCATTAGGGTTGCCGCAATTATTTTTGGCAGCACTGGCATCAGCAATAGTTTGGCGATTTTTTACGGCTCTCAAAACCGAATGGTACTAATGTTTCTAATCTATAAGTCGCTCAGATATGCTGCGTGACAATGCTGAGCTTAGATCGAAGCCGTCAGTGTTTGGCTTTGCAATTGTCCTTTCTGTTCGACGCTAAAATTCCTTGTTGAAAACACATGCTGCATTTATTTCTCTTTGTCTCATTAAACCTTTCGTAAGTTTATTTTACATTTCTTAGGTGCCAAGATGGTTATGCGGGGACATACTGTGAAGTTGAACTTGATGTCTATCCTAGTAAGTTCTTTAAATTAAATCTAACCCTCTTTCCTTTTAAAAATGTATTATTAATTTTTAAACTTTATGCATTATTAATAACTTAACTTTATTATTAACATAAAATGTATTATTAAGGGGTATCAGAAACCCCTATACCGACAATGTTAATTTGGCCGTTTTCGATGTACTTTTTCTCAAAATCTGCTGTAGATACAAGCTTGAAATTTTTTCTGTAATTAAAGTATACCTATCTGATTATACTGAAATGAGCTTTTGAAGCATTTTGAGTTTTAGAGTAAATTATAGAATATTTTGTTAGGCATAGTAAAATTTAGCACTTTCTCACACAAAAAAATTTTTAAATTTTTTTTCTAAGTTTATTACAAAAAGCTCATTTCAGTAAATATTAGGGAACCTAATAAATAAGCCATAAAAAGTTTAGATACCTGTGAGCAGTAGTTCCTGAGAAAAGGTACATCGAGTATAAAAAAAATCACGTTTGGAGAAAAAACGCGTTTTTATGTAAAGATGCTCATTGATCAAAGCAGTAGATGACAAATTAAAACTAGATTTTTTTATAGTTCTAATTTTCATAGAGATTAAAGAATGGTATTTTTAGAAAGATAAAAGTGTAGAGAATTTGAAAATGCAAAAATCCGAAATCACCATTTTTTGAAGATTTTGGAGTTCCAACACTCCTTAATATCATTAACTTTTTACAAAGTTATGTCCATAATCACAGATATTACATACTTTATGATCCTCTATTAGATAACAGAAAGTAGTAGTGAAAGCTTACCAGTTTTGGATAGCGTACGAAAAATATTTCAGCAGTTAAATATAGCACTAAATACCGTTTAATTTATTAAATGTGCATCTCTTCTTCTCAAGTCTTGCCAAAAGCTATGCATGTTTCTCGTTTAATCAGCTTGCTTAGATTCATCGCTTTGTACATCAGATAACGGGCCCACAGGCGGCCGAGCGGTAAAGTCGCTGAAGACTAGTAGTTCGGTCCGAGATTTAAATTCTGCGAACAGGTCGGCTGCATAAGCGTATTTGTAATTTTCCCCATGTTTATCGTATATACGAGTTAGTTTACCTTAGAAAGTCCTCCGTGAATGCATTTCTCTCCTTAGATAGATAGTTCTGCAGGATTTGCCGTAGTCACATAAACCATACGTAAGACAACGTGTTGTGGAAATCTTAAACTGTTAAATAATTTCATTTGCCTCATATTATACCTGAATTTTCCCAAATGAAATTGTATTAATTTGTTCTCAAAACTTGAACGAAAAAGGTAGTGAATATTTTTTTCTGATGAAGTGGAATCGTAGATGAAAGTAATATTTTGGGGAATTCTGTTTTAAATCAAAGTTCAGAACCAGAGCGGTATGTAAAATAAAATATTATTTTTTCTATAAAGGCCTCAAGCGACTGGTCTCAACATTATGAGAAAATATGCAAAATATATTGCCTGACATAAAAAGTGCCATACCATGAAGATATAAATTTAGTTGTATATAATTTTCACAGTGAGTACATAGCTGCAAATAATTACAATTTCTGGTCAGACATACAAACCGTACGCACTAGCACGTGAAACCGTTATTCAAGACGTCGTCATAGCAAAAAAAGTTGTGTTTTTGGCTGCTACTGCCCCAGCGGAAAACATGCAATGCCCATACTTGGTCCTCCAATTACTCTGTCCCTAAGAGCACATTCTAGAATATCTCTTGGACGGCGGCCACTACTTACTTTACAAGGTGCTTTATAACTAGATAGAATTAATAATACATGCACATAAAAAAAAAAGATCGGTCGCATAATGAACATATCTACTGAACCTAGCCGGCGTCAATTTGCAGGGTTTTTGCCAGTTGTCTTCTAATATGGCATCCTGGAAGTAAGAACATCAGAGTTTTATTGAAAACTAAAACATTTTTATTGTGATCGCACAGCGGTGGACACACTTTAAACGATCGGCAGGCTCTATAGTGCCCGCGAGTATAGGGTTGGTAACCGCTGCTTTAAGATATTGTAGTACGCAATAATATCAAACGGGAGTGGTAACGATACGTTTCATTTTATGTCACCCCACGTATTTCTGAAGAAATGCAACATGTTACAGCCATCTATCCAATTGGACAGCTATCCAAAAATATATCTAGTCAATAATCCCACGAAAGAAATGTGCAATTTTGTAATGGGTTTGAAGCTGACATGTGGACGTTAGAGCCCACTGAACGTGGCATTAAAGTTTAACCGTACTTAGGCTTAACCCATGACTGGAGACAGTTTTCGAAGTATGCAGAGAATATTGGCACTCTGATAACAACATGAATAACAGAACACCGACTGGTTTCAACAGATTTCTTGTTCAGTTGTCCGTATTCTTAATAAGGAGGTGTCATCGTAATCGCTTAGTGTGTCTCAGCAGAGCTTCATGGATAACAAAATGCAACAATAATTACTCAGCGACGATTCGTCCTCTGTCTCACCAATAATAACCATTGTTTGAAAGTCTGAAAGTGGCGTAACCACCGGACGAATTCACCTGCCATTTTGTAGCATCGTATAGTCTTTCAACATGGAGTCGTTGTTAGTGATACTGTTAACGCTAATGGTCGCTAATCTCTAATATGCATTTTGGGCGCCAATTTGTTGGTGAATTGCTGCCACTTGTAGCGGTGCAGGGTACCGGAATGCAAATTTTGACAGGCTTGTATCTGACAACACACAGTTTAGTTCGGCGGAAGTGCTTTACGAGGTAGGCAGATGCTTGCGTGGTCAAACCCATTTCCTATTGTCTTACTAATCGAAAATCTGGGAAGGAAATTAGTAAGTATGCCACCTGAATGTTCTTCCACCGCCACGAAATGAAAATAAATTATAGCAATATCACATGGCTGACAATACCCCATAGCATTATTCGTATACTCAATGAATCGATATCAGGTTGGGCTACGCGATGTATTTCTCAAATTGAAGATTCCACTTTTTACCGATCACCCTGTATTTTAGATAATTGGAACTTTGCCAGTGTGTGGTTTGGTTTGATTTGGTTTATTTAATTACGGTAAAGCACTCGAGGGCTATTTACCTAGGGAAGGTATGCCTTTGAGGAGGACTTTTTAAGAGAACCTGACTCGTATACACGTTACACGTGAGGAAAATGCACATGCAGCCAGTCCTTTGGCGGGATTGGAACCTCGTACCAAAATAACAGTGTTCAGCGAATTTACCGCTCGGCCGCTCGTTGGCTCTTGCAAGCACGTGAAGTACATTTGTTTGAACAGTGAGCAATGTGAAGTACACAGGTTTGGCCTGTTGTTCAATAATTTATAATGATCTATCAGCCAGTATACATAACTCCTTCTTCCAGGAAATTTTAACAATTGAAAGTTATTTACATGAATTTTTTAAAAACATTTAAAAAATGCATTTTTTTAAGCTTTGAACTAATTCCTTTTTATTCTTCTCGTTTCAGAAAAGAAATCGTTGGTAGTTGCTTTCTCAATTCTTGCTACAATAATCATCCTGTTGCTGATTACAACGGTTTTCTTTGCTCGAAAAATTCAGGGACCATAAGTCGAAAATCTAAACATGACATGCAAAAATTCAGACAGAAATGTGAATTATCAATTGTCTGTAAGTCGTGCTTCCTGAATACCTGAATCTTTTTAAATTAGAGCTGGACATATGTGAACTAGACCTGAACTTGGAAATAAACAGATATTCGAAGACATGAACGCAAATTTTTGTGACTTTAAAATCTCCAAGCTTTAAATACTAACCATAAACTTTAATATAGCAGTTAAGGTTAACGTACATTTTAACTTCTAGATTATTGAATTAATTAAAATTAATTAAAATAAATAATATAAAATTCAATTAATTAAAATATAAATTCTTGAATTAATAATAATAATAAAAATAAATAATGTGCAATATTAACTTCAACAGAAATCTTTTCAGAAACATTTGAAGATAAGTTGTTGAATGCTAATATCCTTGAAAAAGGATAAACATTTTATATCAGTAGGAATTTCAGGAAAACACCTGAAGAAAGTTGCTTTATTCAAAGAAAAGTAACCCCAAAAAATGTTTAAAAAACAATAAAATATAAAGAAAAATTATCGATAATTATTAAAAATAATTGTTTTATTCCAGTACAGATACTTCAGATTCATTCAAAATGCGTGGAAGTTTTCGCTATTATTCTCTAAATTAGTGGAATTTAAACTAATTACATTCTATACTATTAAAATTTGTGCATGTCTGTCTGTTTGTTTGTAGCATTATCTCCTCCAGAACTTCAATCCCTGCCGCTACGGAGGAGTCTTTCAAGAGAATCCTCCCGGATTCCAAAAATTCATGGGAAGCTATTTCGACCATTATCATCTTCATACGACTTTTATTAGCGGAGTTATTAATTAAAAACTCTGAAAACGCTGATTTTCGTCCTTATTTTTCTGGGTGGCAACAGTCTCGCACTCTGGAGATAAAATTCTGCTTTATTTCGAGAAGTGTTGCCACTGCTCGCTTTCAAATCGTAAAGTTTGTTAATAAAGAATTTCTAAGTTTTACAAAATGTGAAATAAAAATAATATTTCTAAACATTAAACATGTTATTATTATACAAAATCATATTCTAACATGGAAGAAAGCAAGCGATTTCATTTGATAATTGTTCCTTAATGCATTTTAAATAAATAGCTGCTGGTAGAAATATTTTTTGTTTCGGTTTAATATAATTAACACGATATATTGCTGCCACGTCAATTCTTTTATTAATATTGAGAAAATGTGTTTATATTACATTAAATTTAAATCATGACGCCATAGGTACACGTTATTAACCTGATGTGTAAAATGTTTTTGTTTCCTAATTTAACAATAAAAAAATTATTTACTAACTGGTTGTTGGTTAAAAAGAATAAACTGATTTCATTCATTTTGAAATGTTTTTATACATTTTCATTTAATGTGTATATAAAACTTTTACATTTTGCTTTGGCCACACCCCGCTCATATGGCAGGCTTGCCCGCTAGTCAAAGTTTAGAAATTGCTTATCTGATGTTTCTCTTATATATATTATCGATAACTCACTTACTAAACTTTCGAATCTGTGGTCTTTCCGTAAGACATTTTTCAAAACTCGGTATTTCCTTCTCCGTTATAATTTTTTTCCTTTTCGTTTCCCGTTTACATGAATGCAATACCTGGAAACAAAATACACTGTTAGATGAATTTCCTTTTTAATCAGATAGGCGTACAACATTCATCGGTTTCTCGGCAAATTTTGAACACGAAAGAATGATGACTTACGTGTGTATTATAATCATAATGCATGTATTATTTATAAGAATAAAAGTATTAAATTTGGTTACATACTAATTTAGAAAATTTCTCATTTTTATAAACAGTATGTTCCTAATCAAAATTTATTGTCTTTTGTAGTAACGGGGTTATTAAGAGAGTTAAACGCGACACCACTGACGTGGTGGTAAATTATTAAATTTCAAAAATGGTAGAATTAAGAGGTTAACATTGTGATCGCAATAACCCTAAGAAACTTGAATGTAAGGTACAATATGTGGCCTATGAAAAGAAACTATTATTCATAGTACTTACCCAGAGCGAGTAATGCCAGGCGTAAAAAGAACCAGCTTTCACATGTGAAACCATTTTATTATTTTTTTGTATTATCATGATTATTCTTGGATAATATATATACATTAGGAGCAGACATCAGCATTACCAGGTGACAGGTGACGGAGGACGGGGACGTCTGGTGTTTAACAGAGGTAAACAGGTATATGTCCCGCGTCCTCCACTATCCAGAGACAACAACTCCCTGGAGCCGCACGAAGCCGCACCGGGAGATTATATAAGATTTAAGAAAGGTTTACAAGCATCAGCATTACCAGGAGTCAAAAGCTTTGGCTCTGCATTCTCTTAACGAAATGCACACACATAAAGAATGCGCCAAAAAGCACACACTTAAAGAATACGCCAAAATGTACAATGTTCACTAATCCGTTCCAAAATAGTCAGGAGAAAGGCAGAACTGAGGATATTTACTGACGAACGCTAGGTTTATTTTTTTTTAGATGATGCATGAAGTTCAATATTGCAAGTACTAAACACATGGTTTGTTTCCACACGTGGTGGGCAAAGTGGATTCAAACAGTGGTGTAGCCGCATAACATCTTTTTTCTAACTCGTACACGTAAGTTAACCACAGGCAGCTTGAAGAGGTAAGCCACAACAACAAACTTGTATAACCGCTAAACTCACCACCAGGGGGAAAAAGGGGCGGTATGAAATATTGTTGAATGAAATAAGGCATGAAGACATCAGTTTAAAGTGTGCTTAATTGTTTCTGAAACGTGTTACAAAACATGTTCAATGTAGCGTCCAGCATTTTCCGAAAACTAATTAAATCCTGTTACTGCATTCTCAACAGCAGCTCTTAGCATATCAGGAGGAATGTTACGGACATGTCGGTGTATCACATTTCTCATTTCTGCCAAATTGTTTAGATTATCACTATAAACAGTGCTTTTGAGAAAACCCCATAGCCAAAAGTCACAGAGGTTGATGTCTGGTGGGAAGAGGGCAAGTGTCGGCGTATAACACGTTCATTCGTGAAATGTTGCCTAAGTAAGTGCGACACATGTGAGGTGGAGCCCAGCCCTGCATAAAAATCGTAGTATCTAAAATGACACGTTAAAGCAGTTCATGTATCACGAACCATTTTAACATTGACTCTAAGCGAGCGGCAATCACAGTAGTCCAGCTGTCGACTGCTCTTCAGAGAAAAATGATTCAGTTATGAACTAGCTGTCATTCCACGCCAAACGGTTGGTCACTGCTATGCAATCGAATGCAATGGAACTAGGTATATAACATGAGGGATTTCTTTGGCCCAGATCGATTAAAAGCGTTTTGAATCAGTATCTTCATGTTTGCAAATGTGTTGTTCATGTTTGTCATTAATGAACTATGGTACAAATGTTGAATGTATAGCCAGTATAGCGGTATGCGGGCGCCACCTAGGGATGAATTTCGCGAAACCCACTGGAAACTGAGAATCGGAATTTCGTTCTGTCTGACAGGCCTTGAGTATAAGTTGGACTTGCCTCCATCCTCACTGTTATGAAACAACCAGAACGATCCGCCAGACAGTACTTTACAAGCAGTACTTTCCCCAATTGTACCAACGTCGCGCTCACGCGATAAACTAACCATAATTGGTGTTATTTAATCACATTGTTCCTTCATTGACCAGACACAGCACACCATTTCCAGATGTCACAAACTATGTAACTGCTGTGTTTAACATCTCTTAACGTAGCAACGCAGTTCAATAGCGCACCAGATCGTCTCGCTCAATTGCACGCTTCGGTTCGAACTCTAGTTACCGCCTTAGTAAAGGTTCTTTTTTATGAAGAACATTTCACAACTACATCCATATGATATGCTAGTTCGCTTTCTAAATTCCTAAGTACGAGGACACTGTTCTAGTGCCCATTACTCTATCACCTAAGTCGCGTTTTGAACTTAGTTTAGTAAGATTCGGTGACATCTTTAAACCGCGAAACATAAGTAAAACTCTTTTCCTTGCTAATTGCTCTTATGTATCATTGTGTATTTACTCTTCGTAAATTGCGAGTCGTCTTTAAAATATGAAAGGATTTTAAAATTTTTAAAGGCATGTACTTTTCTCAACATATGCTACAAATTTATATGTATGCATGAAGTGTAGTAACTGAAAAGATATAGTATCATTCGTAAAGAACATTTGTAGCAGGCAAATCCAAAATTTAAATGTGAACAACAAATGCGAAACCAACTTTACTCTCAGTACCACTGCCATCCGTATAACATGTTACAGGGAAATCATTTGCGATTTTATGGCTAAATTGAATAACATTAACAGCATTTTTTCTGAGAGATTAGATGGAGGCAAAACGCAATATAAGAAAACACACAAAAAGCAGACAGTTTTTACCCTTAAAGAAATATTATGAAGAATGGCAATGTCGATTAGAGGAAAACTCGAAATTGCATAAACAGACCCATAACTTTGTTACGATATCACAAATTACCCGCGGAATGTGTCGCCAGATAAATATATTTTATTTTCCTCTTAAGCACCATACCCCACACTCTATAGCCGTACATTATAAAGGCTTCATTTTCTTTTGATGCTATTAAGGGGACTCGTACACCTTAAACCACTCATGATCTCCGGATATGTGACAGTTTGCGAGAATTGGGATATTTTATTTATTTTAAAAGCAATTACTTCCAGTTTTTTACAGCTGACTACATAATATAGCTGCTTTGGAAACTAGTAACCAGAAAGTTTGTGTTGCCACAAATATTTTTGTAATTTAATCCTCTTTGTGACAAAATATTTCGCCATGGTTCCACCTTGCGCGCATGATATTTTAAAAATGGCTAATGGTACATACTTGAGATTTGATGGACTTCTTTATATGGGCACTATTTTCTAACTGAACCAACAATCTGATGAATGTTTTAATATTGAAAAATTTTATGGATGGAAACATTAAAAATTTTTTTAATAAAATACATTTTATAAATTCAACTCAAAATAAAATAAAAATTTAGCGTGAAAATTTTAGAATTTTAGGTTCACAGTAGTTTCCAGATGTTATAAAAGCTATACATTAAATATGGAATTAAATTATGAAACAGAATGTTTTAACAAACTGTGCGCGCAAGGTCGGAAACATGACGAAAAATGTTGTCACAAAACGGATTAAATTATAAAAATATTTGTGGCAACACAAACTTTCGGATTATTATTTCAGAAAGCAGCTATGTTATGTAGTCAGCTGTAAAAAGTTGGTAGTGATTGCTTTTAAAATAAATAAGTTATCCCAATTCTTGCAACAGTCACTTATTCGAACATCTTATGGGTTTTAAGGTGTATGAGTCCCCTTAAACTATCTCTGATTGTATGGAAACTATTGTAAAATTTCTTACCCATACTTTACGAAATTAAAAAGTACTTACAATGTTTGTTGACCTTGAAGCTAGAAACTGCTCTAAAATTAATGGCATGTCATCTTCTATTATGTTCAGAAATTTCGAAAATACGAATAATTATATACAAACTACTGCGCCAAGACTGTTCTCCGATAAGTTTTCAAGTACAGCTTCATTGAGAGGCTGAAAAAGGAATAATGTTAGGGTGTTACTAGAGAGATTTGTGTAGATACGGGCTAAGCTATCTACTGAATTGCTAGCTGTTATGTTGAGTAATAGGCGAACCATTACTGTCGGTTGGTGAGACAGGCGTATCACTTCTATGCTATCTTGACTTGATGATGGATAGCTCGAGACCTTTGGCATGTTTGAAGAATAATCGCCATCATCATACGGTGAGAAAAATGTTGTTCGAACCAGTAACTTC